GCAATGGGAAATGACAGTGGAGGAGCGAGAAAAAGAGAAGATAATGAAGACGAAGACCGTGGTTACCAAGTGGCTACCATGGAAATAAATAAAGAAAGAAAGAAAAAAAAATAAATAAATAAAAATAGAAAAGTCTGAAATTCGTTGAGTGATATTGATGTGTTCTACTTTCTAGGGTTTGTGCCTTTTCAATTATTGCCCCTCTTTTTATCATTATTTCTAATAAATGGCCGTTTAATTTTGTTCGTTTTTTTTTTCTTTGGATCGGTAAATTCGTTTGCATTTATTATTTATTATTTAATCGCCTAATCTATGGTGATCAGTATTGTAAACGGGTCGAATCGAATTCGATTTTTTGTATTTAAATGTGAGTTCGAATCTTTATCAAGTCGAATCGAGTCGGGTCCGTTTTTAATTTAATTGAAGCAATGAGGGTTCGAGCTCACCTTGTGAACTCAAGCTTTAATTTAGAAAATTCCGAAAAACTTCTAATTTTATAGTCTTACGAGAGAATTCGAACTCTGACGCATTAACTACACGAGATATTTGTTTATAAAATAAGTCGGAATCAAACTTGCGAGCGAATTGTTTCGTTTAACAACTCTAGCACAAGTATTCTACACGTATAGTTATTTTTATATTTGAACATTAAAGAAAAAATAAATACTTAAAAGAAATGCTAGCTCTCTTGTCTTTTTCTTTGTATGATAAAAAAATATATAAATTCCAAAATAAAATCTAATTTGAATCAATAGCAATCTATTTATGACTTCCAATTAAGATAGAGTTTGACTATTCATTAGTCATTTATATTGTCCACATGATATGGCTTGACTTTTTCTCTCCTTTTGTTTCATTTTATTTTATTATCATCAGAAAGTATAATAAGTATTATATTTTAACATTATTATTTTGTCCACAATTTAATGTTTTATTTTGTGGGTGGCGGGTGCTATCACGCCAGCTGACTCAAAAGAAAAAGAGAACAAAAACTCAAATACTTTAAAGTTTGGGGCATAATTGAATAACTAAATAGTGTGTGGCCGAAAGAGCAATTTTCACAATTCTGATGTACCAAACTTGCAATATCAGTCGCATCACCATTGGTCATCGATACTTTACTTTATGGATATGGAATTCTGAAGTGGCACGATTTGGATTTATCATGACCAATTATAATTTTTATGGTTCTCACAGTTTTGCATGGTTGTCCTTTTTTGCAATATCTCATTATCTTTTTCTTACTCAAGGATTTAAATTATTTTGATTAAAAAGCCTATTATTAATTTCTCGTTCACCCAAAATTTTTAGCAATTAATTTCTCGTTCACCTAAAATAATTATTGGAACTTCACAAGTACGCAATTACAAAAATGGTATAAATTCCCGGCTATCACATCCTCTCTTATCACGCACGGAATCTTCAACTACGTTGATACACAAGTTTGACAAAGAGAGGCAGGAACGAGATCTTGAAGAGACAATCTACGAATTAATCTAGTTCTTAATCGGTTTCTTTCAAATACCTCAAAGATATCATAATCGTATAATCAGTACAAAATTTTTATTTTTAGTAGATTCATTGAGTTGTGTAACTTACACAAATGCTCAATATTATGAAACTATGCATCAACTAGATGGACCAAGGTGTGACACAAATATGTTTTATAAGGTTGTTATAGGCATAAATTTATCACATATTTCATTAGTTTAAAAACAAAATTTATCATTTGGAACACAAATTTTCATCAATTTTGACATGCTTAATTATTTAATCATTAAATGCAAAAACTCGTTTTTTAACTGAAATTGATCTATAATCATAGACATATATATCTACATGATCTTCTCTTTAGATAATGACATAGGTGGGCAAAGGAGAAGGCACAAAACCTAGAAAGCTATGTAAGTATAATTATATTACAGTTTTACCATACTTGACTAACACATACAAATCTTTACAAAAGGCAGATGGTCTCTCTCCTTCACAATTATGACATTCTTAATAGTTGCCCCTTTCGATATGTAGAATTTTCTTTTAATTCTATGCCATTTTTCATTAGTAGAAAGCATTTGACTGATTACATCTACAGAGAAAGTCTCGAATTCCTGACATACGATACGAGCCCAAAGTCATTCGTTCTAATGGGAGATTTTTTACCGTCAGATCAACACGCACACATATAGATATGTGTTTTACAATGTGTGATCGAACGATTAAAAAAAAAAAATATTGCACAGGACTATAGAATCGAATTTGTCACATATGAGCACAATTTTAATGAACTCAACCCGAGCTGCCATGATGTGGCTATAGCTTATAGGTTTACTTTGTAAATTTCACCAATTTGAGGGAGTCTGCTGATTTTCAAGAAATTTAATTTTCCTTCCAAGCAATTGACATGTCATATATATATTCTCCTTGTGAAGGGGTAATTTTTTTGTAATGAAACTATATGCCAATCATAGTAGTTCACTTGTTCATGACGTTACTGTATATACTGATGGAACAAATCCAAAGTATAACCATTCATGGGCTTACCTGAGAGCTATCCACAAGATTGCAATTTTGACAATTTGCTGTAAACAAACCACTTGTGAGAAGATAGACGAAAAACTCACAAGGTAAAAATCGTCAACCCCTCGATTTCCAGATGCCACATTGTCGTCAAGCTTTACGACAGTAACACGAAAAAAAAACTGAGAGTATCACGAAGAAGCCCAGCTTCGGTTCAAAAGGGCAGTTTTATGCAATTGGTCAAACTTTTCCCATTATGCTGCAAATTCTAATACGAACCTCGTAAGTTTCAACTGGAAAACATTACCAAAATCAAAGTTCCTCATATAGCTCGAACGCGGATATGGTTACTCAAAACTTCAACTACTTTAAAAGAAAATCCTCAAACTTAATGCATACTGGTATGAGAATTGGGCTGGCCCTGCAACTCAGAATCTCCTTTTACCCCTACCATCACCAAAACCATCATCATCGGGCTTGGCCCGCTCAACTGGCCCGTAATCCTTATCTTCCTGCTCCACAAAATTTCTAATCCTTCTTGATAATCCCCGACGATGCTCCACATGCCCATCAAGCTCTTTCTCTACAAACTCACCATCTGAATCCGAAAAAAAACCATGATCTGTCTGAAAGAAACGAAAATTTTCACCGTCACCATTATAACCCGGCCGAAACGAACAAGTAGGCCCACGCCTCCTGTGGAATTTAGTGCTTGGTCGATTCAAGTACTCATCACAATCACTCACCCTCCTACTGCTCCTCAGGAAGGCCCGTTCGGGTGAAACTCTCCTGTTAGTGCGGCGTATAGGCCCATACGACGGGGACCTTCGCCTTCTGTAGACAATCCCGTCTCCAGACCATTCTTGGTCGGGGGAATTCATCCTTCTTCTCATCCTGTAATAAGGCAGGGACCATGGGCCGGGCGACCGGGACCGGGATTTATAGCGGGCTCGTGTATAGCCCTTTCTCTGCATGGTGGAGAAAGTTCTGTTTCGCGGGCCGAGCCCATCAACAGGCTCGATGATGTCATGGGGTGAGTGCCGCATGAATTTGCCACTCGTGTTTCGAGGATATACATCACTGGAGTTTTTCCGTCTCAGGGGCCGATAATCAGACGGGCCATAAGGAGTCCCAGTTGCAAAGTCACTATCAGACGGGTAGGAAACCAAGCGGCGGGATATTCTCCCCCTCCCATGAACGAAACTTGATTTCGGGTTCCGGTGTAGCCGACCATCAGACCTGACTTTTGTGTATTTGCTTGAACCAATGCCAGTGTATGTTTCATCCCTGAATAAGTACGACATAAAATGAAAGGAAAAAATAAATTTTGAGTGCTATATATTAGGAATTGAGTCACAAAGCAACAGAGACGTTTTATTTTTTCTTTTTTACTTTTGGTAAATCGTTCCACTATGAATTACACATATATTCCCTGTGGTTGCATCTCTTGATCAAGATCAGAGTACCTTTCTTTTCCACTTCGAGTAGTCAGTAATCGTTTAGGAATGGATCTGGTTTTGCAAGGACTCTTCAAAGCAGAAGGCTCTCGAACCTCACCATCCTCATACTCTTCGTCTTCCCCACCGCATACAATTCCTCCTTTACCCAACGAATTATTGATAGCACTATTCCCTTGGGTACCGCAACCAGATTCAGCGCACTCTTCAGAATCTTCAGATAACACGTTGAAATTATTATCA